CATACACATGGCTGTCGAACCCCTTTTCTTTGCTCGTCCTTTGCTCTTTCAATGCCTTGCTGTGCATGGTAGTGCATTTATTTCAAAAGGCATTGTAGAAAGGATAAAATGAAATGGGGTTTGTCAATCTAAGCATGTGCGCATGTGTGTGTGAATAAACCGTAAATGACATGTTACATGGGCTTATTTGAGACTGCTTCCTCACATTTTGACAAAACCCATGAAACTGCTTCGGAACTAGTGAACTGACAAAAAAACAAACAGGATCCACCTGGAGGGTTTTTGAATAAGCATGCATGCCTTAAATATCATATTATGCTTAAAGGATTCATTCAGGTTATTTATGAGCCCTGTTACCCAAGAAAGTGCCTAAATTCACCATGCCAGGCAGCACTTCTAACAAAACATGCAATAGCAGACATGCCAAGAGTGACACCTGGTGGTCATATACTGAAGTTTTTTTTTTTCCCACTCAAGTAAAGTAGATTTAAAGGGGTCATATGATGCGATTTCAAGTTTTCCTTTCTCTTTAGAGTAGTGTCACAGTACCAAAATTTCAGTATTCGGTACCAATACCAATGAAAATCCACGGTTCTCGGTACTAATTTCGGTACCAAAGCAAAACACAAAAACTTGCTAATTAAAAAATGTGACTACTTTCATTTAATCCAAACTGTGTACATATTTAATTTTAAAGGGCTTTTGAAAACCTTCTAGAGTTATTCAGCCAAGAATAACAACTAAGTTAGCTAAAAACAAACAACAACAAAAAAGCCCAGAACTGCTTTTCTGACTGATATGACACAAACAATGTTTACCATAGATATTTTAGCTAATGCTCATTATATTAGCGTTAGCCGCGCTTATGCTAACGATTAACTACTCTAATAACAGCGTTCATTTCAATCCGACATTCAAATTAAAATCTTGAATAATATTCATTACAGAAGCGGTGTTTCCCACACACTTGCACTCTATTTGTGGCGGCATATATATGCAAATTCATTCTCTGCCAGCAGGAGGCACTTGTAGAGCGGGAGAGATAGAGGTTTCCCCGGTAACAGCTGTAATCAAATAAGCGCTGAGCTCACAAACGGTGCTGCTTTATCAATTTTCTGAAGACTGTCGATTTCCTTTAGAAATACAGTGATATAAAAACACCCGCACCGGGTTTCGACTTTGACACGTGCAGTGCTCATGTTTATTCAACGAAGTCAAAGCCTTTTGTAAAATCTATTTGTGGCGGTCAGTTTTGACATTGTGGCGGGCAGCCACAAATAAATCAATGTATGGGAAACACTAAATTAAAATGAAACTTACCTGCTTGAACTCTTTCATTTGATCTGGGTGTCTTTAAAGTGTTTTGTTAGTTTGGTGTGTTTCCTCGTTTTGATGTCGCCACGTCTCAGTGCTTTTATGAAGAGAGCGCATCTGCACACCTTTCGGATAGCGCATCAAGAACCATTTTTACCGGGTACTCGGTACCACCGATACTTAAAAAAACCTGGTACCGTAACGTTTTCATTTTTTTAGTACCAACTTGGTACCGAAGTAACCGGGTCTTTTCTTTAAAGTGTTTTGTTAGTTTGATGTGTTTCCTCCTTTTGAGGTCGCCACGTCTCAGTGCTTTTATGGATAGCGCATCAAGAACCAACCGGGTTGACCGGGTACCACCGGTACTTAAAAAAAACCTGGTACCGTAACGTTTTCATTTTTTTAGTACCAACTTGGTACCGAAGTAACCGGGTCTTTTGACAACATCCCTAAAGTAGGACTGTTTCCTGGGAGAGTAGCCTACAATGCTGGTGTTCCGGTGAATTCAGTTCCCGTTTCTCCTTCGGCGCGCATGCTGACCACAGTCTATGATGCTGACAAATAATGCTGACTCACAGCCTGTAAGTACGTTTTCATATTTAAAGGATTTGCCACTGACGATTCAAACACGAGTTTTGAGCAGTGTAGAGTAGCGCTTGTTGTTTGTCATTTCTCTGATCACAAATGCAGACATGGTTTTTTGTTTACGCGGCACGATGCAACGCAACGCGTAAAAAGACAGTATAAGGCATTATAATCAGTAATTATTGAACCTTAAACCGCATAAACACATATCATTACACCAAATACACAAAATAATGTTCTTTTTAGCAACGTCATATGACCCCTTTAAAGGTGTACTCAGTATTTGTGTTTGTTGCACAGTCATCTTGGATTTATACTGACACCTTGTGGTGTGGCTGTAGCATGATGCTAAAGCTAATGTTGTCAGTTACCAATGCCCTTGTGGAATCTAATGCAAGTGTATATAATTATAAACATATTTTTCAAACGTATTATTTCTTTCTTCTGTGTGAAACTTTCTTTAATGAAAGAAAAACACAGGTTCCTACAAGAACTATAAACGGTTCACTTTAGAAAATGGATTTTCGAAGTACGTTTTGCAAAAAACTTCTACATTTCTCATTTAATTCAATATGTTACTAGTCGTTTCTTTGTAATTATTTGTGAAATTTGCTATCAGTTTCAGAGTGAAATTTTTTTCAAAGTAAATCCTACAACGTTTTATTTTTTTTCAGTGTTCCTCCAGCAAACCTTCATAAGGGAACGCGTTTTTGAGGCAGTTTAATATTAAAGTTCTCTGAATACACACTGGTATATTTTAGGCTTTTTTTATTTTTAAGAGTCTAGGTACATAGAGACAGATTGAGCCTGAAACCTGGTTTATGCTCGATGTGTCTGTACAGGCAGGAGGGTGTGTGAAACAAAAAAGTGATGACATTGCAGCTCTTGTGAAACTGCATGTTGACTCTGCAAGGCTGGTTCACCGCTGGTTTTTTATTAGACTAGTTTTATATTATCCTATGCATATGTCTCATTGAAAAGTAAAGCATGTTATTATGAAATATATATTTGTGTCGTACAGGTGAAGAGTTAATGAAGCTGGGTGAGGAGGACGAGCAGGGCTGGTGTAAAGGACAGCTGGTCAGCGGAGAAATAGGCCTCTACCCTGCTAACTACGTTCAAGTCATCACATCTTGATCACCCGCTTCGCCCTGGATGAGACCCACACCTTCACTGTGGCAGCTGTAAGGTCACGTCACACTGAACTACAGCAGTTGTGTCCAATACACAGCCATGCAACTGCATGATGGATTGAATGCCACGATACTCGAGGAGATTCAGAGAGGAGTGCGCAGTTCAGTGTTTTCTTTTTTCTTTTCACTGACACTCTAGAGGACTTTAAGAATAGTTAGTCCCGCTTTGCCCTTGTGCTTATTGAAAGATCAGTGCCTTTATTATAAAATGCCACAGACATTCACAACACGGCTATTAATGCAGCACACAGTTGAATGGACACATTGTTTGTCTGAATCATTTTGTTCACAGGAAGACGTGCGAGTCGCCATTGTTGGATTTGTTTTGATAGATTATCATTGCAGTCCTCTTGTTTTAGTATTTCACATTTCAGTTACATATCAGAATCATTTCAAGTATTTGATCAAATCTACGCTGACTTTATATATTCAGGTTTTGCGAATCTTTCATGAGAAGCGTGTTAGTGTGTTGATATATTTTGTGTAATATGTTAGATCGTTCTAGTTAAACTGAACATTTCTTTGGTTGTAGTTCAGAATTGAAGGATTCTTCATTGCATATTTACCTATGTTTTCACAAAAGATATATGGATTTATAATATACAAATTGTCACTGGGCAGATGCTCTTACTAGTCGCCCTTTGGAATCGTGATTCTAGGATTCTTGTCAAGGGATCCGGGAGGAGATTCTAAAATCTTGTTGATGGGATTGTTTTACTTTTTTTAATTTATCTTTTTGTTTTTATTTGGAGCGCATGAAAGTTTCTGATGTCAAATGATATAAAGTGTGAGAGAAAGGGCAAAACCTCTGGGCTTCTTGTGGGCTTGTAAAAGTGAATGTGTGAGTGCTCATGGGAAATGTTTCCATTTCCACATGCTCTGCCTCCAGTGTGCCCCACTGTGAACATGGTTTTACATGAAACTACTGTAACAGCCAATACTAATCAATGTAAAAATACCAAATAAAAGTTGGAGATTCTTATCGTCCTATGGTGGCTGTGATGCTGCTTAAACATGAAGTTTTACATTTTTGTTTAAAATTAACAGTCTTAAATGATTACATTAAAGTTGTTTGGAGGGGTTTTGTGGTTTGTAAGGTGAGGCCAGGACAGTTTACAACAAATGAGGTGTATCCTGCTGCCACATACTGAAGCATTCTGTTAATTTGGTTCTCCTCAGGTTTATGAGATATTACATACATTTTTGTTTTCTTATGTTGAAAATATTTTCCGTTATTTTGTAAATATCAGGAAATTACTGGGTAGCTGACATGACATTTCAAGTAGTCATGCAGTAAAATAAAAATTTGTACATTTTTATTTTTAAAATCTTTTATAATTATTATATATACACTCTAAAAAATGCTGGGTTAAATACAACTAGGGCTGCACGATAAATCGCATGCGATATTTATCAGTGAACAACGGCTCTGTGTAGTTAATGCTGCTCAATGTGAAAGCCCGCAGGTGATGGAGATTTACCGCTGATTACAGAACCGGCTTTACTGATAAGATGCGCGTTAAATATCGCATGCGATTTATCGTGCAGCCCTAAATACAACCCAGTGCTGGGTAAAATAGGGACAAACCCAGCAATTGGGTTGTTTTGACCCAGCGGTTGGGTTACTACTCAGAAGGTTGGGTTAAACATTTAAACATTTAACCCAACCGCTGGGTCAAAACAGCCCAATTGCTGGGTTTGTCCCTATTTTACCCAGCACTGGGTTGTATTTAACCCAGCATTTTTTAGAGTGTACAGTTTTTATGACCTTGTATTTATTGGGTCCACTTCAAGAAGTATTTGTACTGCAAGAAGAAGAAAAAAAGATAAAAGGTGATTTATAATTGTAAAAAAATGTAGATGATGATACAAAAATATATCATAAATATATATTTTAACACAAGAAAATAGTTGAACTCAAACACTATTGCACTGAATATTGTGTGGCTTTTTAGATATGAGCAGATTTATTATTAAAAGTATTGCAATTCTGGAAATTTATTGGAGATCTGCATTGCTGTACACATGCATAGATGTACACACTGACAAACAGCAAATAGATTAATTATAAAGCAGCAACCTCAAATCGAAGCATCAAGAACCGTTACATGAGCTCTGCTTATGAATTCATAGCAAAATTTGAGCTCAACTGTTCTAACTGTCCTGGGTTGTGTTTCCCAAAAGCATCATAAAGCTAAACGCCGAATGAATTATTGCCCCCATTTGCAGTCTGGAGGAATTGAGTCAGAGCCAGTCTGAAGATTTTGGACAGTCTGAGTTGATAGATTTCACTGAAAATCATTCAGTCAGTGTTTTGTTTTGTTTTAGCTGTAGATTATGAATCTGTCCAGTCGGAGAACATTAAACATGAGATTCCGAGCCTATTTTAAAACAATTGTTTTAATTTGTTGTGTTTCTCAGCAATGACTTGTGCTTTTGTGTGAGCTTGTGTTATTTAGTATATGATGCCCAGTTTTTCTTATAACCATTTACAATGTCTGCAAATGAATGATACCTAGTTTTAATATTTGTTCAGGTTTTAAAAATCGTGTAGTGCCATCCAGCCTTTAAGTAGAAACCATTGGCACCAGTGGTCTCTATACAAGCCATTTAGGCTGCTTTTGGGAAACTCAACCTATACAACCGGTGTGGTACAAAGCAGAGATGACTCAAAATAAACTGTTCCCAAATGATAAGACGACATGTCAGGTGACTGAAACATGTTGAACACACGCCACTGTGAGGCAGTCCAAGGGCGAGTACTGAACTTTGCTTTGACAGCCTATTTGTACAATATTTAAAAATCTTAGGATTTAGATGGAACAACCTGGGTAAATATAGTGGCTGAGCATTTCTATACCGTGAAGTATAGAATAAGTAAAAGTTATGACTCAAAATATGCTTCATCAAACAGTTGAAAGGCCTGTTATGAGGCACATTGTTCAATCATACATCATAGTCCCTTTATTCCTTTGTAACTGTGGTACATCCTTTGACAAAATCAGTAAATACAAGAACAGCGTTGTGTTATGAGTGTGTTCTGTAAAAACGGAAAAATCATTCCGCTTTGCAAGAGTGAATGAGAACTGTCTATTAAGACACTTATTCAAAGAATTTCCTTTTCTTGCCTTGCAATGTCATGTAAAATATATTATCTAAAGCAATATTTACGTGTACAATTAATTCAGAAAGATCTGTAGACACAATTTAATTCAGTTCATTTGCACTTCGAAAAGAAATTCACATTATTAACCCCAAAGTTCTGTTGTTTTATAATAGAACACTGATTATTTTTTTTAGTGTGCATCAAGGTCTTTGAGGTTTTTCTCCACAAGATCAGCGGTGAGGTTCTGTTTGCAGTCTCGGAGAGCTTTGATGAGATCCTCCACTCTGGCGTTTTCTTTCTTCATCTTCATCCACTGTCTGATGAGCTCCCTCACCTGCTCCTCCAGGTCACGGTTGTGCTTCTCCTGTATGCCTTCCAGCTGAGTGTGCTTAAGTCCAAGTTTTCTTCCAAATTGAAGCCACTTTCTACCCAAATGTTCAACAATTACTTCAGTTGCAATGTTTATTTTTTCTAAAAAAAAAAAAAAAGAAGAGAGATACAAAAAGCGTTTGAATTCGATTAGAATCTGAATAAAACTGAAAATCTTTTCGAGTGGTTTTCTGCAGGGCCACTAGTTTTACAACATGATTTGGACTTCAGTTACTGTATTTGTAACACTTAAAGGGTTAGTTCACCCAAAAATGAAAATTCTCATTAATTACTCACGCTCGTGTTGTTCCAAACCCGTAAGACCTTCGTTCATCTTCGGAACACAATTTAAGATATTTTTGATGAAATCTGAGGGCTCGCCACACGCTCGCGTCATGATACTGTCCACAAGTGACGCATTAGAGACGAAAATGTAAGTAGTGCTGGGAGGTATGACCAAAAATTTATATCACAGTATTTTTCAAAATTATACCAGTTTCACAGTACATGACGGTATTTTTTTTTTCACGCATGACCGGGTGTTAACTATATTTTCTACTGATTGAGAGTGAAAGTTGCTAAATCTAGTGCTAAAATCTCGCTCGTGTGTGTGAGACGCGGGAGCTGATGGCAGGGGGCGGTGGATATTTGTGGTGGTCAGTGTGGATATTGTGGATGAGTTCTTCTGTGTCATCACGTTCTATTAGTTCTACAGCTTCAGTTTCGGAACTTTCACGCTTAGTAACACATACAGCTGTTCCCTCACCACAGTGCAACACCCCTTTCAAACAGTGTCGCGTTCCGAACGTTGTTTAAGCAACATACTTAATACATTGTATTGCGGTATTTTAAAAATTCATATCATAACAAAAATAAACACCGGTATTCAGTATGAACCGGTATACCGCCCAGCACTACCTCAGATTTCATCAAAAATATCTTAAATTGTGTTCCAAAGATGAACTTACGGGTTTGGAACAACAACGAGAGTGAGTAGTTAATGACAGAATTTTCATTTTTGGGTGAACTAACCCTTTAAGTAACTATGTATGAAGTTCACTGCATAAAAAACCCAAGCAGCATTGCAAACAAATGATACAAGACCTTTTCTCAGAAATAGCATCACTGGTTCTTCACATTAATGCATCTTTCTTTAAAATAAATGCCACTTTGGTTTAATATTTTGTTACTGAATGTGATTCATACAATTTTAAGTGTGGCATAAGGGTACGTTTACACAACAACATTATACTAAAATGGGAAACGTTTTTCCTTTGCGTTTTTGAAAAGTTTCACGTACAGACGACAACGCTGTCAAAATGATCCCCATTAACATGGATTCACAAAAACGACCAAAAACACTGTATTATGCGTGCCAGGCCAGTAGTTGGCAAATGTCACTTTGTAAAGAAACACTACGCGCCTGCACACATATATACTGAACTCGTAATGCACATTTGTGTAGTTTACATGGAGACGATAACAGTATCATCTTCAAAAAATTGCACTTTAAAAACTGTTTTCAAAAGTTTGCATTTTCTAGCCCCCCAAAATGCTGATGTTGTATAAATGAATGACCAAAACACATACGTTTTCTGGTTTTAGTTGAAAACAGTGTCGTGTAAACAAGCCCTGAGTTTCCAGATACTTTTATGGGAAATACCGATCACCATAATCAGCATTATTTGACCTCAAAGGGTAATTACGGTGTACGTACGTTGCCAAATAACAATGTGTTACATCCTACTTTTGTTAAATTTTCATAATAAAGTTTTTAAATGTTAAAATCATTAAGTGATTAGTGAGTAAAATTACTTCATTTCACCAATTTTGTGTACATCTTTAACTCTGTAAAGTCTGACATAAGAAACAAAAAAATTCTAATTACTTGAACAAAATATGAAAGAAAATGAAGAAAAAAAAATGGTATATGCGTTTTATGTTTTGTATCACATTTGATACATCAGGCTTTTATGGCCCATATAGTTTGATATGAGAATACTTGAAGCTGAAAAAAGTCCCATACTGAACAAAAATATGCTATTTGGTGTAGATGTTGTTATATGGCCAAAAAGTAAGATGAAATTATCATAGATTGTAATGTAAATCTACAAGATTTCTATAGTATAGCAGACTACTTGCATAAACTGCATATAAATATCAGCTGTCACTCTACATTTCACAATAATGTCTTAGTAAGATGATATTTAAATGCTTAGTTTTATGATCAAAGCTCTGAAGTTTTTATTGTGGGGGCAAAATATATAATGTAATGCAATATAATGATGATTAAGAGATGTACACACACACACACACACACACACACACACAGAATCCTCAAAAGCCTCTTGTATCATTTTTGATACTGACTTTTTAACATGATTTTTCCAAAAAATTATGTTTGGATATGTAAACCTGATTTATTATTAAGATTAATTAATCGTATTAATAACAACATAATTCCAATTTTTAGGCTACTTTATAAAAATCAGCAAAGACTTATAAAGACGTATATAATGACCTGAAGTTGGACAGTATTAGAATTATACTAAAAGGCCTTTTACTTACTAAACAATGTATATAGTATTAGGGTTGCAAAGGGGTGGAAAATTTCTGGTAAATTTCCGGAAGCATTCCAAAAATCCCTGGAATATTCCAAAACATCCTGAAAAGTTTCTGAAATTTACTGGAAATGTTCCACCTTTTTGCAATCCTATATAGTATACTATCAATCAGACGACAGTAAGTACACTATGTACAACAGGTTTTTCAAGTGGATAGTTTAAGGCCTTAGAAATTCATGTATTACCGACATATGATACAACAGGCTTAATAGTTTATTATTATTATTATTATTATTAAATTGTATTACGTGTTTAACAGCATTATTTCAGCCCTGTTTACAGGTGCATCTCAATAAATATTTGAGTTGAATTACTGAAATAAATGAACTTTTCCACAACATTCTAATTTATTGAGATGCACCTGCATATTGCCCATGAAAAAAAAAACACAAATCGAACTATACTGTATGAGCTACGCAATGAACAACTAAATAAGGATAATTTTAATAAGAATTTAGTGGGAAAAAATAAGCAATTTGTTACCAGTAATGGAATAGAAGAATGGGACAGTCAATAGCTGTCATTATTGGGACAGTATCTAGGCCTAATGAGTATCTAATAAACAAATATTAGTGAAAAAGATACAAGTTACTAGGCTAACGTTATTGGATTACACAATAGTGCTAAAAAAAAAACCTACTAAAATATAATAGTACGTGAAAAGGAATAAATGTTAAAACCGACTTGCCATAAACAGCATTTCACATACTAGTGATAAGACGGAAGTAGCAAGAACTCTAGAGTGAACATTACCTCAGAGAAACAGCGGTCCAAAACGATAGAATACATTTTTAAAAATCACAGAAACTATACCTCAACCTGACCTTAAGCCATCGTTTCACTTAAAAATAAGAGGCTTTTAGAGTGTTAAGCAAAAAATAGGCTATTAATCTCTGCCTAACGTTACCTGCCTCACGAGCCACTGTTTGCTGTCAGTGAACAGCCTCATGTTACATGAAACGTAAGCGTTCAGTAAAAGTACAAACCTCGCTCTTTCGCGTCCAGTACACCAGCAGGGCCCCCAGTCGCTCCTCTCTCATAAGCATCTATTATTTCCAGAAGAACTCTCTGACCGATCTGGATTAGAAGTTCTCGCAGAAGTTCCGTGTTATCAGGCCCAATTGCAGTTTTTTCGATCATGCACTCGAAAAGATCAATCCCCTTATTGATTTTCTCGAGCCTTTTCTTCCCGATGTCGGTGCACAAAAACTTTAAACTTGTCAAATTGTCTTCAGTAAGTTTATCAGAGATCGCTAGTAGCATCGCTCTAAATCCGCGCTTTTCCATGATGTGTTTGTTTGAAGGCTAACCCCAGTAACTGCCACAGCGCTGCCGCACGACGCCCGGGCGCTTCATCTCCCACTTTCGCTCTCAGCTCTGGATCTCACCATCATGAAAATCCCCCACTCTGCTTCGGTGGGTCGGCTAGAAACAAAAAAATGACACCCGCCAACAACTTCAGTTTGAAGGTAACTTGTTTCAGATGAGTCGTTCTTTTGAACCACTCTTTTTGTCATAATGAATCATTTGGACATTTTCGCTAGTAGCGGTGTCCGATTCGAGGGCGAATTGTTCATTTGAGTCGACTTTTTTAATATTCCCAGTTCACGATCACGTTCTGGAGTCAAAATTAGCTGTTCAAAGTTCTAAGTAGTGCCAAAATGATTGTAAGAATTCAGAACTAAACCTGATTTTCAATCGTAATTTTCCGAATTACCAATAACTAACGTTAATGATTTGAGTTGTTGAACAAGTTCATTTGAATTGAACCGAGAAAAATAAGGTAATAGCCGAACATTGGAACTGTGGTATGATTGTATGACCAACGAACACACGAGACGTAGATTTTTTATTATTATATATATTTTTTTTAATAACAAACACACGCGCGCATTTTTCCCAGAGATGTACATGATTCAACTGACGACTCGTTTTTGTGAACCAAAAGAATCGATTCGCAAAATGAATCCCAGAGATGTACATGATTCAACTGATGACTCCTTTTTGTGAACCAAAAGAACCGATTCGCAAAATGAATCGAATTTCGCAACACTGAAGGAGGGAACTGAAGTTACCTACTTCCCATCATATTGCTCCTCCTCCTTTATTTCACCCAAAAGGAGGGCACTCTGTGGACACAACAGGCTACCGAGCAGCAGCAGCAAATATGAATTCAGTGAGTTTCTTCTCCAAACATTGGCCTTCCGGTCAGCAAAAGAGTCAATAAATGTATACATAGCCTACCAAATGTATAGGACATATTTATTTTCGAAACATAATTCAAAAGCAAAAGTACAGTCATAACCTCCCATTAGCAGTTTGAGACACTGAAACGCTACAATGACATAAAAGACATTTAAAGGTTTCTTTCTTTCTCACAGTATGTGGGATGAAGTAGCAGTCTATAAATGGGTTTACATTGTCAATTTATAATAAAGGTAAAACCAAGGCCCTTTTTTTAAAGTGAGGAAATAGAGCTTTGTTTAATAATTCAGTTTTATCAGAAAAAAAGCATGTCATATGTCCAAATAGAGTATGCCTTCATATGTTATATTAATATTATATTGATTTCAATTAAAACCACTCTTTTATTTATCACGGTAGACATAGTTTCTGTAAATGGAAGACACATGCAACATTCCAATATATATCTCTTCCATCATCATTGCCATGTTATAAAGGTTGAAACTTCACAAATCAAGACAAGAGAACATTCAGACAGGCAGACACAAAACTCTGTCCATATGACCCATTAATAAATGCAGTGCATTATCATGAATATTAAGGCATCTTGAACGTGATGGGTTTATATACAGTGTACCCTTTCTCAGCACAACTTGATAGCATTTTCAGATGCACTACCTAAAAACCAAGCACTTGCATGCTGCCAAAACTCCCCAAGATCAATCGACATCCTGTCAGAATCACTCCACCGCATATAATAGAAATTATAGAATACTAAAAAAAAAGACCAAGTGAGCATTATAGTGACTTTGATTAATTTGTAGTGTTTTAAATCTATATTTTATATATAGACCGCTAAAGGCTAAACAGACACAATCATTACAATGATAGAACTGAACTAACTGTACTTAGTACCTAAAGAGGACACAGCATGATATTGATAGTTGCTAATTCACTTGACCAGAAATATTCTGAATGAAATGTCTAATATTAAATAATTTAAAAAGCACTTTAAACGAGTTGGTTCAGAGTTCAATCCTATCCTATCAATATCGAAAACATGAACATTACATGTTCATGTTAAAATTCATATAAAAGCATTGCATTTTCAAATAAAATGCTCATTAGTTGTCTATAAATGCTAAAGCAGCGATGCTTCACAAAACTTAATACAATATTCATCAGTCAACAGATAAAACAATACAAACCCTACAGCCCTCTTTCCAAACACACCTACCAGCAGAAGTTGCATATAGTTGATAGAAAAAGATGCTTAATTCAGTAACAAACAAAAGAAAAAAAAATTTTCTTGTAACTTTTTTCTGGTATACCAGTGAGGTGGCAGTCATATAACATTCTTTGTAACAACATTGATCCTTACAGCAGTGGTCCTCCAGGTCAGGCCAGTCTTCTACAGCCTTTCCATTCTGTTTGAGCAGGTCACAGAGCTGGACTGAGTTATAAACAGGCCCTAGAATGGACCGTATTACGGCTTCCCTCGCAGCACTGGGATCAGAGAGAGTGCTGGACTAAGCTTGTGAGCTGGGACGTGAGCGCAGCGGCTGGGGGCTTGGGTCACCGATGGTATTCCTGTACTTCTTGCCCCGTTCCTGTTTCATGAACAGCTCGACAATGAGGTTCCTCTCCTTGTGTATCTGAATGCTAATGTCCTTGGGAATGTCTGGGATTAGCCAATCCACAAAGTCACTCATCAGCATTACCACATTCTGAACAGAAAGACAAGGAAGAAGAAACATTTGTATTAGAAAGACTCTCGTAGATTGGAAACTGTCAAATTGTACCAAAAAAACAAACAAACAACTGAATAACATAATTGAAGCCTTTTTTTTTTAACTGTAAGTTGTTTTTTTTTACATAATGACATTGTTTTCATTATAATTGGGTCCGTTTACTGTAATCAGAAAAAAAATGATATTAAATTGTAAAGTGCATTTGTAAGTATATATCAAGGTCAGTGTTATTGCTGTTAACTTAAACAACTAAAATTATTAAAACTTTTGTTAATTGAAATAAAGCTGAAATATCAGAAACTTAAATGAAAATTTGAAATGTTGAAAAGTTGAAGTACTAAAATTAAATAGAAATATTAAAGTAACAGCAACTAATAAAAGCACATAAAATTATATATATATATATATATATACACACACACACATACTGTATACTAAAATAACACTCATCATGGTAGTAGCTGAAATTAATTTATACCCATTTTAATAATGGTCACAAATTATTAAAATGGGCATATGGACAGGATGATGTTTTTGGTGTATTACAGTAATGAAAATGAGATTTTCCACTTTATAATAATGTGAGAATTATGAGTTATGAGCATTTTAATAATTGAAATGAAATACAATTAATTTTATTTTTTCTAATTAAACAACAACAACAAATTATTATTATTATTGAGGTGAAATTATGATCTGGACATTTCTTTGTAAAAATTCATTATTGATCAGCAATCAAAAAAGTTGGTATTTTATGAATTAGGTTTTGACCGACCTGAAAGACAATGACGAAAGCTAATCGGGCCGCCAGAATGGCCCAGAATTCTCTTGAGAACTCATATGGCGTGGCAGACCATGGAGGGTCCCTGTAATCCTTATATCTGTGGATAGTGTAAACATTATGAATATAATACACAGTCATACACCACATTAGAAAAATCAGCCAGACACACAAAAGAAAGACTCTTTAGTGCAAAACAAACCAAGTACCTGCAAACCTCCACTTTGTATCCCAGATGCATTGGCTCCATGGGCTCTGTGCCAGGCTGGAAGTGACTAACATTGAAGTATGAAAGGGTGTGATTGACAAAGCCATGAAGAGTCCCGTCTGGACTGTACATGTACTGATAGACCAGGCGTGGGATTAAGTCAGAGGTGAATGCGATCACAAATGCCTGAAGAGTGACACATTAGGATTAGCTCTCACCAAACCTTGGAAATGAGTTTGTTAGGGTGTTCTGGGTGTTTGTTAACTGGCCCTGTGTGTGAGATTTCTTTCACCTGTTTTATCATCCACCAGCTGAAAATCATCAGTCAGATTGCTCAGAAAAGTAATAGCACACCTCTGCTCAACAGGTGGATGATTGAAGGTATCACTCATGTTCACAGCACAAAGTTTGCAGAGGGAGTTATTCCCCAAGGATTATTGCTTACGTTTGAAAAATGTACAGTAAATCTGAGCAGGAACAATATTAGTAGTGATGCTTGCCACTAATAATTACTTTCAATGCTCGGCAGTATACAGTACATCACAGGTACAGCACTAATTTGTTACAGAACAAACACATGGAATTAAAAACCTACATTAACAATGACAGCCACTTTACTGAGTCCTCTGAGAAGAGTGTACCAGATTCCTGGAAGACAAAGAAACATAAGATTACACATATTTGTATTTTAAATGTAGTTATACTTAAAGTCAATAATGCATGATTGTCTTATTTGTCATGAAAGTGAATAAAATACACTTTATTTTTCTTTAAGCAAGATCTAATCTAAGGAAAAAAAATCTTAAGTATAATTATATCCTTAAATCAAAATATAAGAAAAATATTTTTAAGAAAAAAAAAACCATTTTGATATAACCACACACTTGACAGGTTTTGTGAGTCACAAAAAAACACGTATTACATTATAATACCACTAGGTGGTGACAAAACTTATAGGGAAGATTGTTACATGTGACAGCTTGCCCTGATATCAGTATGAATTATGAATATGCACTGACATGACATGAAGATCAAACCTTTAGTTAAAATCTACCTTTATCATATAGTTGATGACTGCCAGTGGTAGCTTATGGTGTTGCTTTATCCAACAGCTATTATATATATATATATATATTAAATTGTATATAAAAAAAAATTGTATATTGTTGTTGAATTTTAGTTCGTAGAACAAAATTCACACACAAAAAATTTAAATAAAAAATGTTTTAAACCATCATATATTAAAAGTTAAAACCTCATAGTAACTGAGATAGCCTTGTGATGGACTGGCCATTCATTCATCCAGAGTAATTTCCTGCTTACAGCCTGAGATGCTGGGACAGACCTTGCAACAACATGCTCTGCCTCCTTCAAATATGACTAGAAACAAACATTTCAATGTCCTTTCCGATATTTCCTGAAGATCAAATCACTAATAAAAATGTCCGTTTCATTATGGGGTATTATTTTACTCTCGTTACGGAGAACCAGAGTAGGGGGGAATATGTAGGGTCAGACCCCACCGCCAGGGTGTCGGGTACTTCGGTCCGTCATCGCTCGAAAAAGCCCCTGGAGCTCAGCTTTCATCGTTACGGAGAACCAGAGTAGGAGGCGTCATCTTACTGTCATGCCCGCCAGGGTGTTGGGTACTT